CCACCGAGGCGCGCCCTCCTCAAGGCGCTGTCCGCGGAGCCGGCGCCGCCGCACCCGGCCGTGACGTCACACGGGCGCGCCCACGCCGTGACGCCCCGCCGCGGGCGCCCTGAGTGACGCGCTGTACGCCCGCCCCGCGCGTCCTGCCGACCGGGCCTTGGTGCGGCGCCGGGGGTTGGTCCGGCGGGCGCAGCTGCTGGCTGCTGCCGCCCGAGTCGTTCCCCGAGACCCACCGGAGCTCCTGCGGCCGGCGTGCGGGCTGACTGAGTCTTTGCCCAGCGTGTGCGGGCGCCGGCGGCGACCGGGGTCTGAACGCCCGGCGAAGCCGCTCGAGGTTGCGGAGCCTCCGGCCTGGCGCCGAGTGCTTCAGAGAAGGGCAGAGAGCCAGCGACTGAGACCCCCGGGGCCGTCGGGGCGGAAGCAGCGCGCGCTCGGCGGGACCTGGGGTCCCGGTGGCGAAGGGGGCGACTCCCCGCCCGCTCCCAGGGACGCAGGCGTCTGGGTGCTGGGATTAGGGGTGCCTGTGGGGGAGGCGGCCCACAGGGGCGCCGCACCCACGTGGAAGACCCAGATGGGCTTCTTGGCTCAGCCGTAGCCGAATGGGGAATCTCCCCGCTCTAAAACCAAAAAAAGTGCTTTCAATGCCTTTGACGCTTCTGAGTTCTCTTTTAAGGTTATTTATTTGAGAGGCAGAGTTACAGAGAGGCAGAGTCTCCCATCCACTGGGTCACTCCCCAGATGGCCGCAACGGCCGGAGCTGGGCTGATCTGGTGGCAGAAGCTCCCTCCCGGTCTCCCACGTGTGCACTGGTCCAAGCACTTGGTCATCGCCTGCCGCTTTCCCGGGCCCATTACAGGGAGCTGGGTCCGAAGAGGAGCAGCCGAGACTCGAGCTGTTGCCCGTGGGGATGTGGGTGCTGGCGGCAGAGGCTTTACCCGCACGCCCCGGCCCCTCTGCTGGATGTCATAGCTGCACGTGTCCCTGGGGGTGCCTGCTCCTGCCCCAGGCTATCCGCGGACCGGGGTCACCAACTACGGCTTCGCTGCCTTTTGTCCCACGGACTTGGAACTGCTCTGTCTCTGGAGGCCTCCCCGTTGGGGGTCGCAGAACCTGTGCACAGCAGGTGCACCTGAGACAGCCCCCAAGCCCCCAGGGGGCTTTGTCCTGCTTCTCCGCGTTCGCGACCACCCAGCGCCCCCGCGTGTCCGCCGCCTGTACTGCAGGTCCACCTGGAGGTGTGCGCGACCGGCGCTCCGCGTGCTGATTCTCACCTGATGTATGCGTAGTTGGCTTTTTTTTTTTTTTTAAGGTTTGTTTATTTGACAGGCTTACTGATAGGGAGAGTCAGAGATTCCATCCGCTGGTTCACTCGCCAAATGGCCACACTGCCAGGGCGGGGCCCAGCCAAAGCCGGGAGCCAGGAGTTTTCCACGTGGGAGCAGGGGTCCAGCGCCCGGGCCATCCTCTGCTGCCTCGGGCTCGTTAGCAGCAGCTGGAATTCAGCGGTCACTCGGATCCGGCGCCAGCGCTGCCCAGCGGCTGCTCACTGACCCACTGCACCGCAGCGCCGGCCCCTGACGGGCTCGTTTTCAATGCTGATTTGCATTTCCTCGTGTGGCAATATGACATTGTGTCCAGAGCCGTCCATCTGTTTGGACAGCTGGACTGTTTCCATCTGTTAGGAGTGAAGCTGCTGCCGGGGCCAGCGCTGTGGCGGAGCGGGTAAGGCCGCTGCCTGTGGTGCCAGCATCCCTTATGGACGCCAGTTTGAGTCCCGGCTGCTCCACTTCCGATCCAGCTCTCTGCTGTGGCCTGGGAAAGCAAAGGAAGACGGCCCAAGTCCTTGGGCCCCTGCACCCGCGTGGGAGACCCGGAAGAGGCTCCTGGTTCTGGATCCACGCAGCTCCGCCCGTCGCAGCTGGTTGGGAAGTGAGCCGGTGGATAGAAGACTCTCTCTCTCTCTCTCTCTCTCTCTCTGCCTCTGCCTCTCCTCTCTCTCTGTGTAACTCTGACATTCAAATAAATAAATAAATCTTAAAAAAAAAAAAAAAGAAAGAAAGAAAGAAAGAAGTGCAGGCGCTGTGAGTGGCCCTGCACCCGGATCGGCGCCTGGGCTCGGCCGGCCCTGGCTCGGCCACAGCCTCCTGCTCCTGGTGATGGCTCATGGAACCGGAACCGGGCTCCCTGACACTGGGACACAGACCTGGATGCAGCTGCTCAGAGTGAACCGCACATGGCACTCGCTTCCCGCTTGCTCTCTCTGCCTTTCAAATAAAATGTAGTTGAAATTTTAAAAACGAGTTAATTATTAAAATATCTAATACAGTAAAGGGCAGATAGAACTGCACTTCAACACAGCACCCACTTACCACATGTGGCTGTTTAAATTGGTTCAGGCTGGCGCCGCGGCTCACTAGGCTAATCCTCCGCTTGCAGCGCCGGCACTAGATTCTGTCCCGGTTGCCCCTCTTCCAGGCCAGCTCTCTGCTGTGGCCCGGGAGTGCAGTGGAGGATGCCCAAGTGCTTGGGCCCTGCACCCCATGGGAGACCAGGAGAAGCACCTGGCTCCTGGCTTTGGATCGGCGCAGCGCACCAGCCGTAGTGGCCATTTGGGGGGTGAACCAATGGAAGGAAGACCTTTCTCTCTCTCTCTCTCTCTCTCTCTTTCTCTCACTGTCTAATTCTGCCTGTCCAAAAAAAAATTTAAGTGCAGGGTGGGCGTTTGGTTAAAATGCCACTTGGATGCCCACATCACATATGGAAGCCTCTGGGGTGAGAGACAGCTCAGCTTTGAATTCGGCTTCCTGCCGATGCACACCCCGCCAGGCGGCAGCGGCTGGAGCTGAATCTGCCTGTGTGTGGGAGACCGGCTGCAGCCTGGCTGCAGGGGGACATTTGGGTGGTCAGCCAGCAGATGGAGTTCTGCCTCCCCCTCTTTGCCTTTCAAATAAAAAAAAAAATTTTTTTTTGACAGGCAGAGTGGACAGTGAGAGAGAGAGACAGAGAGAAAGGTCTTCCTTTGCTGTTGGTTCACCCTCCAATGGCCGCCGCGGCCGGGGCGCTGCAGCCGGCACACCGCGCTGATCCGATGGCAGGAGCCAGGTGCTTCTCCTGGTCTCCCATGGGGTGCAGGGCCCAAGCACTTGGGCCATCCTCCACTGCACTCCCGGGCCACAGCAGAGAGCTGGCCTGGAAGAGGGGCAACCGGGACAGAATCCGGCGCCCCGACCGGGACTAGAACCCGGTGTGCCAGCGCCGCAAGGCGGAGGATTAGCCTAGTGAGCTGCGGCGCCGGCCGCCTTTCAAATAAAATTTTAATGAACGCCACACCAGCCATGTGTCTGCTGAGTTCCCATGATGACCTGCTGTTCCGTGGGCTCCTTAAGCTCCCCAGGGGCTCTGTTGGTGCCCTGACCCTGTAGCAGAACGAGGCCCTCCTGGTCTAAGCACACACACACGGGGTCTCGGGGGTCCCTGCACCCTGGTGTCTCTGGAGGCTCGGCTCCACGGTGAGGACATACGCTGTGGCCGGGTCCAGGGAGCAGGAAGGGGGTGGGCTCTGCTCTGGACACTGAATGAGGGCAGCAGAAGTCCCAGGAAGGGCCCCAGGTCTGAGCACGGACAGGGCGGGGAGGCACGCGGAAGGCTTCCGGCTCAGCCAGGATCCGCCCATCTCTGCCGGGGTCTGTGGTGCAGGGGCCATAGCTGTGCCCCTCGCACACGAGGAGATGGAGGCTCCCGGGAAGCCTGCGGCGTCTCAGAATCAGCACGGATTACTTCTGCTCCCTGCCAGGAGAGTAGAAACTTCCAGAGAGATCCATTTTCACCTGCTTGAAGGGCAGAATGAGAGGGAGGGAGGGAGGGGGCCCCAGATGCCCCCCAACCCTAATCCTTCAACAGTCTGGGCTGGGCCAGACCAAAGCCGGGAGCCTGGAACTCCATCTGGTCTCCCACGTTGGTGGCAGGGGCCAAAGCCCTGGGGCCGTCCGCCGCCGCCGCCCCAGGTGCACTAGCAGGGAGCGGGATGGGAGGTCGAGCGGCTGGGCATGGCTGTGCCCCACCCCTGCCCGGGAAGTATAAACTCAAGATTCCCAGGCACCAGCGAGAGAAGTGAGAAGAGAGAGCCTCTGGACTTCACTGCAGGGCAGAGGGAGGCCGTCCAGGTGTTGCGAGGACAGCAGCACACCCACCACCCCCACCTGGACCTGGGCACCAGGACAGCAGCGCCCCATGGTCCGCAGAGATGGGCAGGGAACGTTCTGGACGCGACTGGGAGGTGCACTCGGCCTCCCAGCTGCCCCAGGCTGGAGGGGAGCCCAGTGTCCTGCGCCCTATGCCCTGGGAAGGTGGGGCCAGCCCCAAAGTGGCCGCCTGCAGGGCTGGTTTTGGAGAATGACCGTGAGCTCAGAAGCTCACCCTGGGCCTGGCCACCAGCTGCAGCCCCCTCCTGGACCCTGAGCCGCTCGAGGCTCAGCCCGGCAAACCTCTCGGGGACGTCCCTCAGCTGCAGCCGACTGGAGCCCGAGCCCACAGAGGCCGGAGTGGGTCGAGGGCCACAGGACACCTGTCCCTTTTCTGAAACCCGAATGCAGCTGATGAGCTGCAGGCTGGAGGCTGGGATGCATCAGCAGGGCACTGCCGGGGGTCCCACGTCTCAGGTGACCTTTGCCCTCTCGGAGGCGGCTGGAACCAGACCGCCTCCCGTCCCTCCCACAGCTGTCTAGACGTCCTGGTCCACCCCACCCCCTGGGGCTGAGTCACTGGCAGAGCCGAGCTCACCTCCTCCCCCGCTGCTCTCGCCTCAGGGTCTCAAGGACAGCCTGCATCCGCTGGAGCCCCCAGCCTGCAGGGGGAGTCACCTGATGCCACCCCCAGGACTGGGCTCCTAACTGCAGGGGTGCCGCCTCCCCCCTGCCAGAGCAGCAGCTGGGGAGAGAGGAGGCGTCCGGCCTTCCCTCCCACCCACCTCCCAAATAAACACACAAAGCAGCGTATTTGGTGTGAGAACAATGGACATTTAGACACCAGCGCCACGCCAGGGCAGGCAGAGCAGAAACGGAGAGGTAGGGTGTGGGTGCTGCGGGGGCACCAGCCAGGGCCCAGGGTCGTTGGCTTCTCTCAGTGAGGGGAGTCGGCTACAGTGACCAGGAGGTGCCCAACCTCACCAAGGTGGCTGCCGCTCGGGTCTGCCCGTAGGAGGGCAAGGCCAGCCTCAGTCCGCGGAGGGTGGCCGGGGCGCATCGCTGGTGCCTCACCGGATTCTCGGCCTCTGAGCGTGAAGAGGGTTGGGACAACGCAGTCAGTCGTGCCGCCCACGGCCACCGAGGTCTCCTGGGTTGGCCGAGGCTCGGGCTTCGGGCCACAGCGGAAGGTCCCCCGGGCGAGGCTAGCAGCTATACTTCTGCCCACAGGTTCCGAGGCTGGCCCCCAGCCCCCTGCCCCTACTCCCACAGAGAGTCCTGGTCAGAGACAGCACACACGGACGAGGAGCTGGCCCTGGGAGCCGCCGGCCAGCCTCGGCGGAGGACGCTCACCCTGGACGCAGGAGCTGAGCTACCTCCTAACTCGTGCTTGTCTCCCACCCACACAGGAAGACATCGCTGGGCACCTGCAAAGCTTAAAAGGGGCGTCCCCAGGGGAACTCCAGAAGCACAAACAAGCTGCCGGGGCCACCGACCCCCGGGACAGCAGCAGGATGGAGGCCAGCTCTGGCAGTGGGCCTGGGACACTAAGGCACAAGCTAACCCAAGCCCACCGGGAAGGGGCGGGGAAGGTCAGGCTCCTGGGCCTGCAACACGCACAGTGACCAAGCAGTGGTGACTTGGCGCAGGACGGAGGGGCAGGGCGCTGATCTGGGGGTGCCCGATGGCTCTTGCTGGATGGGGCCACGTGTCCTGGCCGCCCCGATAAAGGCCTCTGGAGAGCGGGGTGGGCCCCGGACGCGGCTGGCACCGCAATACAGGCCCAGTGGTCAGTCCAGGGCCCGGAGTCCGGGAGGCAGACGCCCGGCTGGGAAGCTCCTGTGATGTTGCTAAGGTCCCAGCGCAGGAAGGAGGCCGGGCCCTCGGCGGGGGTCTGAAGGGGAGGCAGCGGGAATGAGGAGGGGGAGCGGAGAGCGAGCTGAGGGCCCGGGGCCGCCCCGCGCCTCAGGGCTGCCTGCGCAGGCCGGGGCGCAGGCCCGGGCGCCCGAAGGCAGGGCGCATGAGGTTCTCAGTGATGTAGGCCACCAGCAGGCAGATGACCACCAGCATGACGCAGATGGAGCCTCCCACCGCCGTCATGGCCACCACGATCTCCTGCATGGCGGCCGGCTCCGCGGTGAACTCCACGCACTCGGCGGGCTCCGGGGCGGGGGCGGCGGCGGCGGCGGCGGGCCCGGCGCGCAGGGGTAGCGGCTGCAGGCACAGGCGGTAGCGCACGCTGTCGTGCACGTCGTTCAGCAGGTAGTCGCGGCAGGACGCGCCGAGCAGCACGCGATCGCACGGGAAGCGCGTGTAGGCGCCGCGCCACGAGCAGTTGAGAGCGAAGGCGCGCACGCGGCGCGCCTCGGCCGGCGCCAGGCGCCACTGCAGCAGCACCGTGCGGTTGCGCAGGACGCTGGCGCGCAGCGAGCGGCCGGCCGAGGCGTGCACCGCGCAGCCCGGCGCCTGGCAGCTGAAGCCGCGCGCGGGGCCGCGGAAGCACAAGCGCCCACCGCCCGCCTCCGGGCCCTCGGGCAGCACCTTGTAGGGGCACCAGGGCGCATCGGCGGCCGGCTCCCAGCCCGGCGGCGTCGGGGCGGCAGCTGCGCAGGGAGGCGGCGCGCAGGCGGCCAGCAGCAGCAGCAGCGGCGGGGCGCGCATCCTGCGGCTGGGCCGGCCGGGCGCGGGGCGCGGGCTCGCGGGCGCGCAGGGCGCAGCGTGGGTCACGCGGGCCGCGCTGCCGCCGCCCGCCGCCGCCGCTGCCCGCGCTGCCCGCGCTGCCCGGCGCGCCGCGCCCTCCGCAGCCGCCCGCTCCGACCCGCCCCGCGCCCCGCGCGCGCTCGGATCCGCCCAGCCCCCGTTAACCCTCGCTGGGCTGCGGCGCGCTGCGTGGGCTGGGGGCCGGGCTTCCTCGCCGTGCGGACGCGCGAGGCGGGCGGCTGGCGGTGGTTCTGAGCCGTGCAGCTCGGTGGGTGCCCCGGGCCACATCAGCCGGGGCTCAGGGCCTCCCGATGCTCCATCCTGGGCCCGCCTTGAGCGCCGGCGAGGGAAGGGTCCCGCCTGCCCGGACGATGACAGAACCTTTGGCCCTGGAAGGGGTGGCCGAGTCCGCCCCAAAGGGGCACTGGATAGTCGTCCCCGCCCCGCCTCACCCGGGCCCCGGCGGGGAGGGGAAGGACGGTGCCCCACCTCCCCAGACCCTGCACCCTCAACGCGTCCAGCGCTCTGCCTGCCCCACTCGAGTCCTTCGGTGCAGGGGAGCGCCCGAGGGGTCTCCGGCCAGCTCTGCGCCGCTTGCCCTCCTGTGCCCCCTACTGGGGGAGCTGCGGGGGTGCTCGCGGCGCGCTTGCCTCTTGGGAGCCCCCCCCACACCAGGGAGCCGCTGCCCGCGGCCTCACCAGCTCCTGGCCATGCTGAACATCCCGGCCAGCGCCTACTCTAGGGGCTCTGGCGTCCTGAAGCCAAGGGTCAGGTCCCTCACCGGTCCCCCTGCGCCTGCACCGCCACACCTGGCTTCCAGGACCCGGCCCAACGGCGGCCCCCTCTCCTTGCATCCTGGGCCTCTGTGCCTAGTGGGGAGCGGTTTTGGGGGGGGCACTGCCTGCCCCTGCCCACCTTCCACCCTCCCCTGTGGCTGGGCAGCCCCTGGGCTCCAACTCGCCCTGGCTTCCTGAAGGGACTCCAGACCCCTCCCCCAACCCCACCCCACTCCCCAAGACCACAGGACAGAGCCCGCTGCAGTGCCTCGGGGAAGCCCTCGGGTGGGGCCAGGGCCTGGCTGTGGGCAGTGGGGCGGGAAGGACCTGTCCTGCAGGAGGAGCAGACAGAACTGGATGCGACCTGCAGGGGCCTCTGTCCCTGCCCTGGCCAGGGCAGTTCCTGGAGGGGCGTGGTGCTGATGTCTCTGCTGCCCCTCCCCCGCCCCAGACCCCCTGTCTACAGTGCCTTGCCTCTTTCAGGCAGAGGATGAGGGTGGGGGGAGGGCTGTGCCCAGGTGGATGGGGGGAAGCAGCCCTACTTCCACCCAAAGTTTCTGGGCAAAGGAGATGGAGCGGTAGCCCCACCCCTCATCCCCTCTCCGACCTGGAGGCAGGGGCACCTTCTGGTGGTGGGGCTTGGCTGGGGGGGGCAGTGAGCTAGGCAGCCACGCCTCCTGCCTTGCCAGGTCCTCTCTCTTTTTTTTTTTTTTTTTTGACAGGCAGAGTGGACAGTGAGAGAGAGAGACAGAGAGAAAGGTCTTCCTTTACCGTTGGTTCACCCTCCAATGGCTGCCGCGGCCGGCGCGCTGCGGCCGGGCACCGCGCTGATCCAATGGCAGGAGCCAGGTACTTATCCTGGTCTCCCATGGGGTGCAGGGCCCAAGCACTTGGGCCATCCTCCACTGCACTCCCTGGCCACAGCAGAGAGCTGGCCTGGAAGAGGGGCAACCGGGACAGAATCTGGCGCCCCGACCAGGATTAGAACCAGGTGTGCCGGCGCCGCTAGGCGGAGGATTAGCCTAGTAAGCCGCGGCACCGGCCCAGCAAGTTCCCCTCTTGAAGCCCCTCCCCAGATGGGCACACTTCAGGCGATCTCCCGGGAGGCCAGGGTCTGGGACAAGCAGCCCCCACCCCTGCGGGGCCAGATTCCTGGGTAGCCATGGGCATTGCCAGGTGGAAGGGGCAGGGCAGCCAGGTGCAGGAGGCCAGCACAGGGCCTGGTGGCCGCTGGTCTCAGACCTCCCCGTGACTAGCACACACGTCCACTTCCCCGAAGGGACCATTCTCAGCTCAGACCATGGAGGGCTGTAAGGAGGCTGACCCTTCATGCCCAGGGACTGGTCAGGCGGAAGCTCTCAGACAGGATACCTCCACTGGAGGGCGTGGGAAAGGGGTGGCCGCCCCCTCCAGGGCTGACCTAGCCTCCCTCCCCCCGCAGGGCTGGCCTACCACTGGAGGGCGTGGGAAGGGGCTGCCCCCTGTCCCCCCGCAGGGCTGGCCTCCCACTGGAGGGCGTGGGAAGGGGCTGCCCCCTGTCCCCGGCAGGGCTGGCCTCCCACTGGAGGGCGTGGAAAGGGGCTGCCCCCGTCCCCCCGCAGGGCTGGCCTCCCACTGGAGGGCGTGGGAAGGGGCTGCCCCCGTCCCCCCGCAGGGCTGGCCTCCCACTGGAGGGCGTGGAAAGGGGCTGCCCCGTCCCCCCGCAGGGCTGGCCTCCCACTGGAGGGCGTGGAAAGGGGCTGCCCCCGTCCCCCCGCAGGGCTGGCCTCCCACTGGAGGGCGTGGGAAGGGGCTGCCCCCGTCCCCCCGCAGGGCTGGCCTCCCACTGGAGGGCGTGGGAAGGGGCTGCCCCCGTCCCCCCGCAGGGCTGGCCTCCCACTGGAGGGCGTGGGAAGGGGCTGCCCCCGTCCCCCGCAGGGCTGGCCTCCATCTGCTCGGCTCCTAAGACCAGAGGCAGAGGCCTGGCCCGGCTGCTTCAAGAGCTTGGATGCAGCCTACCCGGAGCGAGCCGTGCCCTGATTTCAGTCCTGGGGCCACGCACGCTTTTCTGGTCAGACAGTCCTGCCTGTGTCTACAGGGAGAGGCCAGCAGTGAGGGGCACGAGGCCACGAGGAAAGGTGGAGACGCCTCCCATCCTGCACCACTGCCCCTCGAGACCCTCCGCTTGCCTCCACGTCTGCGGTGCTGGTCAGACCCTTGCACACAGACACCAGCGCACCACACCGTTTTCTTTTCAAAGGTTTATTGACTTACTTGAAAAGTACAGTGAGAGAGAGAGAGAGAGAGAGAGAGAGAGAGAGAGAGGGAAAGAGAGAGAGGTCTTCCATTCCCTGGTTCGCTCCCCAGATGGCTGCAATGGCTGGAGCTGAGCTGATCCGAAGCCAGGAGCCAGGAGCGGATGGAAGGTGTTTCTCTCTCCTCTTCACACTGTAACTCTACCTCTCAAATAAACAAACAAAATCTTTAAAAAGAGTACTAGGCTCTCCTGACTCCAGCTCCCTGAGGCTGTGCACCCGGGGGAGCGGCGATGGCACAAGCAGCCGCGTGCCTGCCGCGCTGGGGGAGACCTGGCCTGAGCTCCAGGCTCCGGGCTCTGGCCCCTGCTCGGCCTCTGCGGCATTTGGGAATGAACCTGTGGAAGCTCTCACTCTCCTGTGTTTCTGCCTCTCAAGTCGCAAACAAACAAAAGGGCGTTGCACATCGTGACCGCGAACAGTGTCAGCTGCGCTTGCCCTGAAGAGAGCGACAGAGGCTGGACCCCGTCTGAAGGGGCGAGGGGTGGGGCAGGGGCTGTGGCACCCCTCGCAGCTCATCCGCCGCGCCCCACGGCCACCCCAAGTCCACTCGGAGGTCTTAGAACATTTTTCATCTTGCTGGCGTTTTCAAACGCGTTGGCACAGGGTGGGCGTCGGCGAGGCGGTTAGTGGGCTGCTGGGCACCGGGCAGGCTGAGGGCTCCAGCTCCCTCCTGACCCAGCCCAGCTACCGCGTGCACTCGGGGCATGAACAGTGGGTGGGAGATCTGTCTGTCTCTGCTTTTCAAATAAATAAAATACATTTTTTAAAGCTTAATAAACACATTTCCATAAAAGTGTCCCCAGCATCGGTGTTCGTCTGCTGCGTGATTGTTTGCTTTCTGTTTCTGGCGTGGATGGGAGCCACCGCAGGGGGCGCATCCCACTCTTGCATCGAGAACATGGCGGCTGCACGGGTGGCCCGGAGGGTGCGGGCACCTCCCACAGCTGCAGGGCGTGGGCAGCTGTGACAGCCCAGGCTCAGTGAGTGCGGGGAAGGGCCAGCTGCACGCAGACGGGCCCTGCTCTCCGGCCCAAGCCACCAGGAGCAGCTCCCGAGGCTCCCAGGCCTCAGCGCCCCCTTCCTGCTGCCCCAGAGCCCCACGGGGCCCACCAGAGCCGGGCACATGCTGCCGAGGACGTCAGACCAGCGTGCCCCTCGGGCAGGACCTCTAGTGGGGAAAGCCAATGCCTGCAGTGCCGGCATCCCATGTGGCACCTGTCCGAGTCTCGGCTGCTCCGCTTCCGATCCAGCTCCCTGCTAATGCACCTGGGAGAGCAGTGGAAGAGGCCCAGTGCTTGGGGCCCTGCACCCACGTGGGAGGCCCAGATGAGGCTCCTGGCTCCTGGCTTCGGCCTGGCCCAGCCTTGGTTGCTGTGGGCATTTGGGGAGTGACCCAGCGGATGGAGGACCCCCCCACTGCCCTGTAACTGTGTCTTTCAAATAACGAACACAAATGGTGGAGGGCAGGGCAAGGCAGAGTCCCGCTGACAGCTTCAGCCCCGTGGGCACTGCAGGGGTGAGGCTGCCATGGGCACTGGGACACTCCTGTTCTCCCAGGCCCGGCGGATCCCCCTCTCCAACCCATGAGGTGGCAGACAGCACCACAGAGCCCGAGCCAGCAGCAGAAGCCGGGACACTGCCATGCCCAGCACAGGGGTGGACACGCAGGTCACGGGCATGGAGCGTCATCTGACGGGGCTGGGCAGGCACTGCTGTCAGCATCACTGGACACCGTCACAGCTGTCAGCTCACGGCTGTCACCGTCAGTGCAGGGCTGGGGCTGGGCAGGCACTGCTGTCAGCATCACTGGTCACCGTCACAGCTGTCAGCTCACGGCTGTCACCGTCAGTGCAGGGCTGGGGCTGGTCACTGGCGACCACCGGCCCTGCCACCCTTTCTTCCTCTGTGGGGCCAGGAGCCAGCTCTGAGTGCTTACTGGAGAGGGTTACCGTCCCCCCGTGCTCTGCTGGAGTCTGTGCTCCTCTGGTTGACGGCTTTGGTTCTACTTGAAGGTGTGGCCTCAGCTCCTCTGCACAGGCCCCGTGCACTCGGCAGCCGCTCTTGTGGGGCAGGTGTCAGGGGCCGGCAGGTCCAGCGGCTGCCGGTGGCGCTGCTGTCCCACAGCTGGAGCGCCTGTTCCAGTCCCGGCTGCTCTGCTTCCCACCCAGCTCCCTGCTGACGGCCCGGGACGGCAGCACAGGGTGAGCCAACTGCCTGGCTCCCGCACGCATGTGGGAGACCCGGATGGAGCTCCTGGCTCCCGGCTTTGACCCGGCCCAGCCCCAGCTGCTACAGGCACGTGGGGAGTGAACCAGTGCATGGACGATCCTGCTCGTCTGTTTCTCCCTTTCTCTGTTGCTCCACCTTTCAAAAAAATTTTTTTTTAGATTTTATTTATTTATTTGAGAAGCAGAGTTTCAGACACAGAGAAGGGGAGACACGAAGATCTTCCATCCGCTGGTTCACTCCCCAGATGGCAACAACAGCCGGAGCTGAGCTGATCCAAAGCCAGGAGCCAGGAGCTTCATCCAGGTCTCCCATGCAGGTGCAGGAGCCCAAGGACTTGGGCCGTCCTGCACTGCTTTCCCAGGCCACAGCAGGGAGCTGGATCAGAAGTGGAGCAGCCAGGACTCGAACTGGCGCCCATATGGATGTCAGTGCCACAGGCAGAGGCTTAGTTAGCCTACCATGCCACAGCACCGGTCCCAAAATAAATAAATCTTTAAAATATGATTTTGGATGATTTTACCACAAAGAATGCTAAATGTTTGAGGAGATACACGTATGTGCCGATCGAATATTACACAGTGTACGGTGCATGGGAGCATCACCCAGTACCCCCTAACTATGTGCAGGTTCTAAGGTTTTTATTTTAATTTTTTTGACAGGCAGAGTGGATAGTGTGTGAGAGAGAGAGAGAGAGAAAGAGAGAGAGGTCTTCCTTTTTGCCGTTGGTTCACCCTCCAATGGCCACTGCGGCTGACTCACTGCAGCCGGCGCACCGTGCTGATCCGATGGCAGGAGCCAGGTGCTTCTCCTGGTCTCCCATGGGGTGCAGGGCCCAAGCACTTGGGCCATCCTCCACTGCACTCCCGGGCCACAGCAGAGAGCTGGCCTGGAAGAGGGGCAACCGGGACAGAATCCGGCGCCCCAACCGGGACTAGAACCCGTGTGCCGGCGCCGCTAGGTGGAGGATTAGCCTAGTGAGCCGCGGCACCAGCCTATTTTAATTTCTTTTAAAAAAGATGACTTATTTGAAAGATAAGAGTTTCAGAGAGGCAGAGAGAGACAGAGAAAGAGAGAGAGAGGGAGAGACAGATTCTTCCATTTGCTGGTTCACTCCCCAAGTGGCTGCAATGGCCATGGCTGGGCCACGCTGAAGCCAGAAGCCGGGAGCTTCTTCCAGGCCTCCCAGGCGGGTGCAGGGCCCAAGCACTCCCCTGCTTTCCCAGGCCGTAGCAGGGAGCTGGATTGGAAGTGGAGCAGCTGGGACTTGAACTGGTGCCCATGTGGGATGCTGTTGTCACAGCGGACACCACACCACAGGCTGGCGCCGGCCCCAGTTGTGCAGTTTCTATGCCAGCAGGTTTGTTAACAAGGCGGGGCAGACCTTCGGCACAGCAGCCTCCTGCTCAGGGTGCCCACATCCCGCACCGGAGCCTGGTCCAAGTTCCACACTCCCACTCCCACGCAGCCCCCTGCCAACGCCCTGGTGGGCAGCCGGTTATGGCCCTACCTCAGGGGCCGGCTCCTGGCTTTGGCTTGGCCTGGTCTTTGCTGTTGCTGGCATTTGGAGAGTGAACCAGTGGAACTGATGAAAACAAATTTACATTGAAAATTGATTGGGGCTGATGCTCAGCAGGTTAAAGACCCAGCCTGTGGGGCCGGCGCTGTGGTGTAGCGGGTAAAGCTGCCGCCTGCAGCGCCAGCATCCCCTGTGGGTGCTGCTTGGAGTCCCAGCTGCTCCACTTCCGATCCAGCTCCCTGTTAATGAGCCTGGGAAAGCAGTAGAAGATGGCCCAAGTCCTTGGGCCCCTGCACCCACCTGGGAGACCTGGAAGAAGCTCCTGGCTCTTGGCTTCAGACCAGCGCAGCTCCAGCCATTGCAGCCATCTAGGGAGTGAACTAGGGGGTTGGAAGACCTCTCTCTCTCTGCCTCTCCTTCTCTATTTAACTCTGACTTTCAAATAAATAAATAACATATATATATTTTTTTAAAGACAGCCTGCAACACCGGCATCCCATAAAGTCACTGGTTCGAGTCCCGGTTTCTCCACTTCTGGTCCTGCTCCCTGCTAATGCACCTGGGAAAGCAGTGGAAGATGACGCAAGTGCTTGGGTCCCTGCACCCGCGTGGGAGTCCCGGAAGCAGCGCCTGGCTCACCTGTCTCCAAGTTAAAGGTGTACCTAGGACAGTGACTTGTTGATCTGAAATAGAGGCAGAGCAACTCCCACAGCGGTTCAGTCCCCACACGCCTGGGCCTGGGCGAGGCCGGAGCCAGGAGCCGGGCGCTCCACCCGCAGGCGCAGGGCCCCGGGCCCCCAGGCCAGCACGGGCTGCCTCCACAGGTGCACAGCAGGGAGCTGGACGGGGCGTGCAGCAGCCGGAGCGCCAGCGTGGGACACAGGTGCTGCACCGCTCCTGCCCCAGCTTTCTCCTGCGCGAAGCTCTGGCTCTCCTGGAGGCCAGCGCACAAATGGGGCGCAAGAGGGGAGGGGCCCAGGGCACTGTCCACAGGCCCCCAGGCCAAGCCCTAATCGCTGTATCTAGAGCCCCTGCCTGGCAGAGCGGGCAGGGCATGCGGCTCAGCCCCCCACGGGCGGCTCCGCACAGCAGGTGTCTGGGTGGGGACCCCGCGAGTTCCAAGGGCGCAGACACCAGGGGTGTGGCAGGGAGGCGACCTTTGCTAACCAATGACCTCCGTTAACTTCAGCGCCCGGGGTCAGGGTCCCCTCAGTGTGGGGCGCCGCCTGGGTCACGTGTCCCTGAGCCCAGAGCTGGGCTATACCGCGGGCTTCGTTCTGCAGGGAGCTCAGGCTCACACGGGTCAGTGAGGCGGGGCGCCAGGGCTGGGGTCAGCACAGCGCCCCTGCCTCCACTCCTGCCGCCCGGACACGGGCGAGGCCCGGGCACCACGGAGACCCCTTGGCCAGGGCTGTCTCATCTAAACCCGCTGCTGGGGTCCTGCACCGTGAATTCCCACCAGGCCCGTCAGTCCCCGGCCGCGCCCGGCGCCGAGGCTTCGTCTGCACCCGAGGGTGACTCCCGGGTCCCGCCCAGGGCTGATCATGAACCCCAGGGAGCGGCCCCGCCGGCCGCGTCTCCCGGGGCAGGACGGCAGGTGCCGTCCGCCCAGCAGCAGGCAGGGACCTCGACCACGCGCGCCGGTCGGGAGGCCACAAACGTCCGTGGGCTTAACAAAGGCAGCCTTGGTAGCACCGTGGCTGCCAGGGCTGCGGGGTGCAGGGGGCGCGAGGAGGGCGGGGCCGCGGCCTTGGGCCCTGGAGTCTATTCTGCGGGGCTAAAACCGCGCGCGGGCGCGGGTCCAGGTCGCCGCATGGACACGCACACTGAACCGAAGTCCCGGGTCCGCTCCCGGGCCGGCCTGGCTGCGGCCACCCCTGCGGAGTCAGCGCACCGAGGTCTCCAAGCGTCCATCGAAACCCGAGCCTGCGCGGACCTGTCACCGTCCGCGGAAGCCCCGCCCACTGCGCCAGCAGAGCTGTCACTCGGCGGCTCCCATCCCCACGGCAACGCACGCGTCCCGGGGATGCCCATCGCGCAGGCGCAGGCGCCGCCACGTCCGGACGGGCGGCCGAGGTGTCGCAGTCAGCCGAGCCTGGCCGCCCGCCGTCGGGGTCCGACGTCACCTCGGGGTGGCGGTGCGTCCGCGCCCCCAGCCCTTCGTGCTTTCCCCGTCAGAGGCATAACTTCCCCCTCTCGCCGTGGCCCCGCACTGCAGAGACGCGGCCGGCCGACCCGTGCTGTCCCGGCCGCCGCGGCCCGGTCATCTTGTGCGGTCCTAAGCCCCGCGCCCGGAGCCCCGGCGTGCGCCGCTCCTCCCTCTCCCCTTGTGCTTAGCCCCGCCCCGACGGCCTAGCCCCTCCCCAGGCGTGCTTAGCCCCTCCCCTCCCGGCTGCGTAGTCCCCCTCCTTGCTTAGCCCCTCCCTTTCCCCCCCCGCCTGGCTTGCTTAGCCCCTCCCTTTCCCCCCGCCTGGCTGCGTCGCCCCTCCCTCTCTCCCCGTCCTGGCGTGCGTCGCCCCGCCCCCGGCGCGCGTCACCGCCCCTCTCTGTCCCGCCCCGACCCCGCGGCCTCCTGGGAGCTGCGGCCGCCCCGCCCCCGTCCTCCCGGGCGCCTGTGGACTACGAGTCCCGGCAGGCAGTGCGGCGACCGGGAGGGCGGGCGCGGGGGCTGCTGCGCGGCGTTCTCCGGTGGCGCTGCGGGCGGCGGGCGGCCTGCAGTGGCCGCCGCTGAGCAGCCCAGGCCGGCGGCTGCCGCGCGCCCCTGACCGCAGGCGGGCCGACGGGCTGTCCGCCTGCTCGGGGCCCCGTGCCCGGCTCCCGGGCAGCGCGGAAACTTCGGGCAAGTGGAGGGCGGCGGGGCCGGGCGGCGGGCAGCGGGCGGGGCGGCCGCCGGGGCCGGGGCCGCGGTCCGGACCGGCCGCCGACTGCGTCTCGGCCTCTGCCCTCGGCCACAGGCGGACGCTGGCCGCGGTCAGAGGCGGGTGCCGGAGGCCGGGCGCGCGCGGACCGCCAGACTGGTGAGCTGCTGACGCGGGCGCGACCCGATGGCGGGGTCTGCTGCTGGGTGCGTGAGCGCGCGTGCCTGTGGGCGGCGGCGCGATGCGCAGGAGACCCCCGTGAAGCCCGCGAGGGTGGCGGGCGGGCGCCGCTGGGCCCGGGGACGCGGCAGCCCTGCCTTTCCCGGGGGGGGGGCCTTGCCTGGCCTGTTGCTGCGGGCGCAACAGGTCCCCAGATGTCAGCCTCCACCCAAGGTCAGGTGCGGGCAGGGGGCAGCGGTGACCCCACTGGGCGGTGGAGGTCAGAGGTCGTGGCCCCCCCAGCCCAGGGCTTTCCGCGGCGGGGGTGCTGGCCCCCGCCTCCGGGCTTCAGCCCACTCCGCGGGGGTCCGGGGTGCTGCGGCCGGCGTTCGGCCAGTCGCTGGCGCCGGACAGGGTCAGTGCGGGTGCGGGGTCACCTGTGCCTTCGCTGGGCTGCAGCGCCTCGCTGAAGGCGGGTCTGTGGTTAACGCCTTTCCCACGGACTCTCCGCAGACGGCCCGGCCTGGTCCTCCTCCACCGCCCGACCCCCGGCCCCTGGAGACAGCCGGGGGGGCCTGGTCAGCGGCTGCGGCTGCGTTCCAACAGGAGACCGCGGCGGCCGGGGGAGCAGCGGCTGAAGGCTTGGGATGCTGGCTGGAGGCTGGCGGGCGCTCTGAGGTGAGACCCCGATCCGCCCCGCGCCTGTCGCCCCCACCCCCACCCCCACCCCCACGGGCGCCTCAGGTGTAGCAGCGGCCTCCCAGGGGCTTCAGGCCGGCCTGTGACCTGGGCGGAGCCAGGGTCTCTGCGGAGGGGCAGACGTTGGTGGCTCTGTGTTGGTGGCGTGGTCAGCTGAGTGTCAGGGGACGGGAGGAGGGCCATGGGGACGCCAGGGGCTGCGGTGGCCGTGGCCCTCGCGGCGTCCTGCACAGGGGAACGCTGTCGCCCCCTCCCCCCCCCCCCGGCTGTGGCTGCCCCTGGGGTCCCTGCCTCTGGGTGGCCTTGGCCAGGCCAGGTCAGGCCTGCGCACCTGCACTTGCCCCAGGAGTCTCGGGCCAGAGTGAGCCGACCACGGACACGCGGGGGGCCCAGCTGTGCCGCCGCTCTGAGCCTGGGGCCCGCAGGGTTGTAGCGGAGTGGGCACTTGGAGGCCTCATGCTGTCCGGGAGGGGTAGGGTGGCGGGGCCCCCACGGGCGGCACCTGGGCAGGGACTCCCCTGCGGTCTGTGGGGCGCCCTCCCTGCCCCCGCCCACTTCTCCGACTGCTCCGCGGCTGGCCGCAGCCGGGGAGGCCGAGGTCCATGCCCTGCCGGCAGCCTCAGTTCTGAGACCCCCAGGCTTGACAGACAGGCCTCCCCGGTGGTCCGGAGCACTGTGCCGGAGGCCGCCCAGTGGACTGGACCCCTCTCCCCACCTGGCCCTGCCCCTCGCTGCTGAGACTGAATGAGACAGTGAGCCCGAGGCTGGGTGCTGGACCCTGTCCATGCCGGCCTCAGGAGCGGGGGTGGGGGGAAGCCCCGGCCCTCTCCAAAGGGTCCTGGAATGTCCCGGGAGCCGTGTCCCCGTCTGTCCCCACGGGGACGGGGGACGGGTGGCAGCAGGGCGGAGGCGGCGGCCCTGGCCAGGGGAGGCCATCCTGGGCCCGGGCCCCTTAGGGCTGGGCACCCTGTGTGTGCACTGAGCTCCCCTGAGCCCCTCCTCCTGCCCCGGGCATCGCAGGGTGCAGTTCCAGGCACGAGAGGTGAGGTGGGGAGGGAGACCCTGCCTGCGTCCCCTCAGCTGCCCCACTCCCGCGGGCTCCCATGAGGGACAGCCCGGGGCCAGGGCTGGGCAGGCAGCAGCCATGCTAAATGCCTGGAGTGAGCGCCAGCAGGTGTGGCTCAGGCCTCGGCTGCTGCCACGGCTGGACCGGCGCTGGCGCCCGCGGGTGGAGGCCGTGGCGGCCCCCTCCTGCCTTCCTGATTGCCCGCAGACCTTGTGCGAGTGCCCCAGCCCCGTCCGCAGGGCACAGGTCACGCTGTGGCACGCCCGTGTCTCGTTGGCAAATGTCCAGCAGACAAGCGGTGTGGCCCCTGCCCGGGGCGTGCCGCCCTGGCCGCAGAGTGACCGCAGCGCCGGCTGTGGCGCTCGGGTCTTCCTGCCAGAGGCCTTCTTGGTTCTGGGCCAGTTCCCTGGAACCAGCTCAGCTGTGGCTCCTGTGGGGCGTCGGGCAGGGAGGAGCCCTTCTCTCTGCTCTCCCCACCATGACCAGGCCTGGCTCCCGGCTGGGCAGAGAGCCTGTGGGTCAGGGTCTGGCAGAGGCCAGCAGCCTGGGGCCCCACAGCGCTGGGCGACCCCTCTGCCCCCGGCCACCGTCTCCGCTCAGCTGCTTCTGCCGTGTCTGCGGGGGCCGTGGTGGGGGCTCAGCCTGGCCGTGCCCTTGGCTCTCCGGGGCCGCGTGGTCTGGAGCTGGTCACGGCGAGCCCCTGGGGAGTGGGGGCAGCTGTGGCTCCTCCCATCACACATGGAGGCTGCTCGGCCCGCTGGGTCTCCCGAGGGGTCGGGGCCATTTCCAGGAAGGGGTCCTGGGCATTCCTGGTGGGAGCCAAGGCCTGCCGTATGGTTGGCACACGGCCAGCCAGTAGGTAGGTGGGACGGGCCTGGGCTGGCTGGGCCCTCAGGACACGGGGTCTGCTGCCCGCCACAGGAACCCAGCACGTGCTCTGAGGGTCAGGTGCTCTCGGGGACTGTCCAGGTGGGGCACAGGCAGTGAGTGGATATGAGGGCTCCGTGCCTGGCTCTGTGTGGGTACGGCGGGTACAGTGCTGGGAGGCAGAGCCGGTGGCCACCCTGAGCCCCCTGCCTTGTTTGGGGTCGCATCCTCAGCACAGGGCACTCCAGCGGCTGGTCTGGGCGTGGCCGTGTCCTGTGGAAGGCAGGAGGCCGCCTGGTGCAGGGTCCCAGCGGGGCCTGGGCTGGTCTGAGGTTTCTCCCTGGACGCAGAGCTGGGGCGTGTGGTTGAGGCTTCTTGGGAGCCCCCGTGGGTTTCTGTGGCAGCCCCGGCGGTCCTGGTGCAAAGAGGGAAGGAGGTGGAGCCGGCCGAGGGGGTCTGTGCCCTGATCCCCTGGGGAGACGCATTGGAGGGGCACTGTCCCCGCATTGGGTGCAGGCTTTGCAGGGGGGCTGGGCCCTCACATGGGCTTATCCCGGGCGCCACTGCTGGGGCTGGCTGCTGCCCACCTATAGACTGGCCAAGCCTGGGTGTCAGGGCCCTTGGGGCCTAACTGAAGCTGGACCCACGGCCACGCACCTGCCAGCCTCCTGGGAAGCGTAGGGTGTGGCTTGAGGACGCCCACACTCGGCCAGCTCTGGCCCTGGCAGCACCTCTGGGGCGGCACCTGCCCAGCCACGGGCCCTGCCCTTGAGTGAGGAGGGGAGTGGCCATCACTGCTCTGTCTGGGGCCATGAGCCTGTCCTCCCCTCCCCCTCACTCACACAGAGAATGCCCAGGCCACAGATGGCCGTGAGCTCAGAGCCAGCCCCTAGGTTGGGGCCTGGAGCCCCGGGGTCGGCTGCCTGGCCCCTGCTACGCTGTGTCGCTTGTTCTGGGGTGAACAAGCAGCCGCCCTCTGCTGCTGTCCATAGTGGGGTGGCCTTGTGCTCCGTGTGAGGCCAGGGGTCCGTGCCCCGCCTGGCCAGGCCACGCCTCTCGGGAGCTGGTCCTGCAGTGGGGGTGTCCCAGCTGTGAGCAGTGGGCAGAGGTGCTGTTGTGGTCATCCGAGGGTGCCTGTGCCAGCGTTGTGCCCGCCAGCCGTGGCCGTGTGGTCCGTGGTGGAGAGCTGGTCCGAGGCCACGTGTGCTGCCCTGTCGCCCAGCAGCCCGACTGTGCCAGGAGCGGCCTGTTTTCTTCCAAGAGCTGTATTTCTTGCCTCTCAAGGGCACCTCCAATTTTTTTTTTTTTTAAGGCTCATTTTGAAAGTTTTTGGAAAGGCAGAGTCACAGCGAGTGCGGCGGGTGGGAGGGGACGCCTCTTCCGTCCGCTGGTTTGTTCCTCGTTGGCCGGGGCTGGGCCAGGCGGAATCCGGGAGCCTGGGACTCTGTTTTGGTCTCCCACGGGGGTGCTGGGTGCTTGGCTGTCTGCCGGTTTCTCAGGCACATTAGCAGGGAGCTGGGTTGGCACTGCGGCAGCCGGGATTGGAACTGGTGCCCACGTGGACGCTTAACCTGCTGCGCCACGCGGCAGCACCGCCACATCAGTTTGAGCGCGTTGCTGGCCGCTGTGTGCCGTCACCATAGAGGAGCATCCACAGGCGGGCAGGTGCTGGTGGGGCGGCTCCGCCTCCCTGGGGCCGGCCTGTGGGCCCCTCTGGGCAGGTCCAGAGCGTTTGCACTGCCGCTTTATGGCTGGGGCTAAGCAGTCCCCCAGGACTCTCCTCCGGGCTTCCCCCTCTGAGCAGGAGCCAGGTGCAGCGGGCGGGTCGGCCCGTGGCCACCTGGCCCCGCCTGAGGGCGCCCTCTGCCTGCAGGCCCCGGCAGTGCCGCCCACCATGGACCCGGACCCCCAGGCAGGCGTGCAGGTGGGCATGCGCGTGGTGCGCGGCGTGGACTGGAAGTGGGGCCAGCAGGACGGCGGCGAGGGCGGCGTGGGCACGGTGGTGGAGCTGGGCCGGCACGGCAGCGCCTCGACTCCCGACCGCACAGTCGTCGTGCAGTGGGACCAGGGCACCCGCACCAACTACCGCGCCGGCTACCAGGGCGCGCACGACCTGCTGCTCTACGACAACGCCCAGATAGGTGCGCGCGGGGGCGGGCCTGGGGGCGGGGCCGGCGCGCCGCCGCCTGACCCCGGCCCTGCCCGCCCCAGGCGTCCGCCACCCCAACATCATCTGCGACTGCTGCAAGAAACACGGGCTGCGCGGCATGCGCTGGAAGTGCCGCGTGTGCTTCGACTACGACCTGTGCACGCAGTGCTACATGCACAACCGGCACGACCTGGGCCACGCCTTCGAGCGCTACGAGACCGCGCACTCGCGCCCGTGAGTCCCCGCCCAGCCGCCCGGATCCCTGCCGGGCGCACCTCCCCGAGGATGGCCCGGGCCGGGGTCCCGCCCCCCGGGGGAGCAGGACTGCCGAGGCGGGTGCTGCGGGCACCCCTGGGAGGCTCGGGCCGCTCCCCGGACTCGGGCAGCAGTGGCCATGAGGCCGCTCGCATCCCCCGTGGAGGCCCCAGGCCCACGGTGAGCTCTCTGACCGGGGCGTGGTGCCGGGCGCCAGGCCAGGGCGTGGCCAGGGAAGTGTCCTGTGGTCGTGGGATTGGGCTGAGGCAGGCACCGTGCACCGCATGCGGCGAGTGCGGGGCCGTGGGCTGCGCTGTTCCCAGCCTGCGCGCCTCACGTCTCCCCACACACCGGCCCGCTGCGGGGCACCTCCCACCTGCCCACCCCCCGGGCCTGGGGGCGGGGCTCCGCCCGGCTCAGGGTCTCCTCTCCCGCAGTGTCTCGCTGAGTCCCCGCCAGGGCCTCCTGCGCGTCCCCCTGAAGGGCATCTTCCAGGGCGCGAAGGTGGTGCGCGGCCCAGACTGGGAATGGGGCTCGCAGGACGGTGAGTGCTGGCCGAGGGGCCGGGCCGGGCCGGGCCGCAGCCCGAGGCCGACGGGGACCCTCTCTCCCCAGGAGGGGAAGGGAAGCCCGGCCGCGTGGTGGACATCCGTGGCTGGGACGTGGAGACGGGCCGCAGCGTGGCCAGCGTGACGTGGGCTGATGGCACCACCAATGTGTACCGCGTGGGCCACAAGGGCAAGGTGGACCTTAGGTGTGTGGGCGAGGCGGCCGGCGGCTTCTACTACAAGGAGCACCTCCCGAGGCTTGGTACGGGGCTGGGCCCCCTGAACCAGCTGCCCTCCTGCCCTGCTGGGGGAGGGGCTGCCGCCTGAGGCCCGCCTGGCCCCTCCCCCCTCCCCAGGGCAGCCTGCCGAGCTGCAGCGCAGGGTGAGTGCCGACGGGCGGCCCTTCCAGTACGGGGACAAGGTCAAGTGCCTGCTGGACACGGACGTCCTGCGGGAGATGCAGGAAGGCCACGGTGGCTGGAACCCCAGGATGGCGGAGGTGAGCCGCCCACCCGCTGAGGCCCTGTGCCCTCCGGTCCCCTCCCCTGCCCTCCTCCCCCGAGAGTCCAGCCCGACCTGGCCACAGCCTCCGTGACCCGCCACAGTTTATCGGACAGACGGGCACCGTGCACCGCATCACCGACCGCGGGGACGTGCGTGTGCAGTTCAGCCCCGAGACCCGCTGGACGTTCCACCCCGGGGCTCTCACCAAGGTGCATGGGGGGCTGGGCTGAGCCCCGTGCGTCCGCTTCTGCAGCCCTGCCTCGCGCAGTCCCGGGCCCAGGAGTGACCGGGGAGGGCGTTGGGTGTGAAGGGACCCAGCGGAGGGTGAGGCTGCAGTGGCCAGGCCAGGGCGGCGTCTGTCCTGAGGGTGGAAGCAGGCTGGGTCGGCTGTGGGGTGAGATGCCCCCGGTGGGTGTGGTGTGGGGGGCAGGTGGGGGATGGGGGCACAGGTGTGGGGCAAGCAGGAGGAGGGGACCTGAAGCTGGGGTGTCAGGGGCCTTGGAGGGAGCTGTGGGGGTCTCAGGACAGGTGGTGTGCATAGTGAGGGCCCTGCGGTGGGGGGTGGGCCCTGGCCATGCTGCCTGGGGCTCGCTCAGTGTCCAGGCTTGGGCCACCGGGCCTCTCCCACCTGCCCCAGCTGCTCTGGTCTGGTCTGGATGCTGCTGATTGGCCACTTCTGGCCACGGCTCCCTTGGTCACCTATGTCCCTCATCCACCCGACCCTCTGGCTGTGCCTGGGGTCAAGTTCAGGCCCGTGTCCTGGGGTGTGTGGCAGGGCACCTTTCTGCCCCTGGACCCCGCGTGGCCCCACACAGCTGGGAGTCTGACGTGGCCCCCTGTCGCCTAGCACAACACCTTCTGGGTGGGTGATGTGGTACGCGTCCTCGACGACCTGGACACCGTGAAGCGGCTGCAGGCCGGGCATAGCGAGTGGACGGACGACATGGCCCCCGTGAGTGCCCGCGCCCCTGCGGCCGGCTCCTGCGCCCGGGGCCCGCTGTGACCCCAGCCCTCCCCCTCAGGCCCTGGGCCGCGTGGGAAAAGTGGTGAAGGTGTTTGGAGACGGGAACCTGCGTGTGGCGGTCGGCGGCCAGCAGTGGACATTCAGCCCCTCCTGCCTGGTGGCCCACCGTCCCGCCGAGGACGCCAACCTGGCCGTGGCTGAGCGCGCCAGGGAGAACAGAAGTGCGGAGCCCGCCCGGGGCCAGCGGGAGGCGGGGCCCCCCCGGCCACCACTCACCGCAGCCCCGCCCTCAGGCTCCCTGAGCGCGGCCCTGGATAAGCTCAGGGCCCAGAAGAGTGACCCGGAGCACCCGGGGAGGCTGGTGGTGGAGGTGGCCCTCGGCAACGTGGCCCGGGCGCTGGAGCTGCTGCGGAGGCACCCAGAGCAGGTGCGCCCTCCCCGCCCTGCCGCCTGGCCGGGGGCCGAGGGCCAGGAGCTCCCTGCTGACGGCTGGTCCTCCTGGCAGGTGGACACCAAGAACCAGGGCCGGACTGCCCTGCAGGTGGCTGCCTACCTGGGCCAGGTGGAGCTGGTGCAGCTGCTGCTGCAGGCAGGGGCCGGCCTGGACCTGCCGGACGACGAGGGCAGCACCGCGCTGCACTACGCGGCCCTGGGGTGAGGCCTGGCTGGGGCCGGGGGCTGCTCGGGGCGGAGCCCACGGGCCCAGCTGCAGGCTCTGCACCCCTGCCCCCCGGCTCGCTCTCCCTGCAGGAACCAGCCGGACGTGGCCCGGCTACTCCTGAGTGCAGGGTGTGGGGCTGACGTGGTCAACAGTGCCCGCAGCTCGGCGCTGCACGTGGCCGTGCAGAGGGGCTTCCTGGAGGTGGTGAGGGTCCTGTGCGAGCAAGGCTGTGACGTCAACCTGCCTGTGAGTGCCGGTCTGCTGGGCCCGGGCCCGACCCCGGGGTCAAGGCCACTGCCCAGTGACCGCAGGCCCCTTGCCGGCAGGATGCCCATGCGGACACGCCCCTGCACTCTGCCATCTCGGCGGGCGCGGGCGCCAATGGGATCGTGGAGGTCCTCACCGAGGTGCCGGGCATCGACGTCACCGCCACCAACAGGCAGGGCTTCACGCTGCTGCACCACGCGTCCCTGCAGGGCCACGTGCTGTGAGTGCCGGGGGGGGGGGGGGGGGGGGCTCCCCCAGCGGCCTCCTGTGCCACGCCCGCCCTGGGGGCAGCCCCAGGCCCTGGGCAGATCTCTGCGCCCCCACAGAGCTGTCAGGAAGATCCTGGCCCGGGCTCGGCAGCTGGTGGACGCCAGGAAGGAAGACGGCTTCACCGCGCTGCACCTGGCCGCCCTCAACAACCACCGCGAGGTGGCCCAGATCCTGATCCGGGAGGTGTGGCAGAGGCCCCAGGCCTGCGGGGGGCTGGGGGCGGGGCCGCGGCACCGCGGGGGCGGGGCTGAGCCTGCGTGCCCCCCAGGGCCGCTGTGACGTGAACGTCCGGAACCGGAAGCTGCAGTCACCGCTGCACCTGGCCGTGCAGCAGGCCCACGTGGGGCTGGTGCCGCTGCTCGTGGACGCAGGCTGCAGCGTCAACGCCGAGGACGAGGACGGGGACACGGCCTTGCACGTGGCCTTGCAGCGTCACCAGCTGCTGCCCCTGGCGGCAGACGGGGCCGGGGGGGACCCAGGGCCCTTGCAGCTGCTGTCCAGGGTGAGGAGGTTTGGGGCCCCAGGGTCCCCCGCGCAGCCTGGGGCTCCGTGGTTTGCAGGATCCGGCGGCGCCCTAGGCCTGGTTCCGGACGTGCTCTGCTCGCCCAGGCCGGGAGGTGGGGGGTGACCCAGTCTCCTGGCCCGGCCGCCCCAGGACCTGCGGCCAGCAGCCTCGGGCAGGCAGGGCGAGTCTGGTCCTGAAGGCCTGGGCAGGCGCCACCCCGACGCCCGTCCTCACCTCCCCTGTCTTGCCGCCCAGCTGCAGGCCTCTGGCCTCCCGGGCAGCGAGGAGCTGACCGTGGGCGCGGCGCTCGCCTGCTTCCTGGCGCTGGAGGGCGCCGACGTGAGCTATGCCAACCACCGCGGCCGGAGCCCGCTGGACCTGGCGGCCGAGGGCCGAGTGCTCAAGGCTCTGCAGGGCTGTGCCCAGCGCTGCCGGTGAGCCCACGCCCGGGCAGCCCCCCCCCCCCCCGCTCCAATCGGGGCCTGTTCAAGCCCCTCCCTCCCACTGCAGGGAGCGGCAGGCGGGCGGGGGCGCGGCCCCGGGCCCTAGGCCCGCACTCGGCACCCCGAACACCGTGACGAACCTGCACGCCGTGGCCGCCACGGGGCCCGAAGCCGCCGAGTGCCTAGTGTGCTCGGAGCTGTCGCTTCTGGTGCTCTTCTCCCCGTGCCAGCACCGCACGGTGTGCGAGGGTGAGCGGGGCCGGCGGCCGGGGGGGGGGGCTGCCCCGGCCCGCAGAGCCCCTCCAACGCCGCCCGGTCTGCCCCGCAGAGTGCGCGCGCAGGATGAAGAAGTGCATCAGGTGCCAGGTGGTCATCGGCAAGAAGCTGCGTGCAGGTGGGTGGGGCCCCCGCCCAGCCGCCCCGCCTCACTCGCTCCCCTCGGGCTCACGCCCCGCTCCGTCCCGCAGATGGCTCGGAGGTGGCCGGCGCCGCGCCCGCGGCCGGCGCGCCGCGGCAGCTGGTGGAGGAGCTGCAGAGCCGCTACCGGCAGATGGAGGAGCGCATCACCTGCCCGATCTGCATCGACAGCCACATCCGCCTCGTGTTCCAGTGCGGCCACGGCGCGTGCGCGCCCTGCGGCGCCGCGCTCAGCGCCTGCCCCATCTGCCGCCAGCCCATCCGCGACCGCATCCAGATCTTCGTGTGAGCCGCGCGCCCCCCGCCCCGCACCTGTCCTCCATAAAGCGTTTCTCGAACTTGGCCGCCTCTGCCTGTCTGGGGGCGGGCGGGCCGGGCGCACAGCGAATCCAGCCGCGAGCCCGGCGGGCGGACGCTCTCCAGGAACCTTCCGCTCCGCCGCCGGCCGCTCGCCAGCAGCTTGGCGCCGGCCCCGCTGGCCGGGCGCCGCTGTCACTCTGGGCCCGAGCCCTGCGTGGAGAACTGGGGGGGGGGGGGGAGTAGGGGGAGGAGACACTCGGGGCCGAGCCGAAGCCACCTCGCCCTCGGGCCCCGTCCCGGAGGCGCCCCCACCCCACAAAATTATGGGCGCCCCGTCGAACCCCGAACCCACGCGCACTCCGCTGCCCACGCCGGGAACACCTCAGAGCCCCGCGCTGTCACCTCCGCGCTCCCGGGACCCCCTACTCACTTCCACGGAGTCCGCCGCAGTCTCGCTGCCCCGCGGGCCCTGCCACCGCCCCGTACTCACTGCCACGTCCCTCACTGCGCTCCCCCCGCCGTGCGCCACTTTCCGGGCCGGCCGCGCTCAGCCCTCGGGGCCCGCACGGAGGCTCCGCGGTCCGGCGTCGGACGGGGTCCACTCGGGGAAGGCCCGCGGGTCATCCAGCCGCGGCGACCCTAGGCGCAGGCGACGACCCTCGCTCAACCTAGCACCCTGGCGCCAGTCTCCTCCCCGAGGCCCCCCGCCCGGGCGACCCCGCCCAGCAGGCGGGGCCCAGGCCGCTGCGACCGGCCCGCGGGGCTCGGGACGCGAGCCGGCTGGCGGCGCGACTCCGGACTGCGGACCTCCCGGCCGGTTCCCCGCAGGCGCCGCCCCCGCCCCGCGCTGTAACCCGAGCCGCCGCCGCCTCCCCCGCGCGCCCCGCGGCCCAGGCCCCGCGCGCGCCGCCCCCTGCGGCCCTGCGCCCGACAGCGAGTCCGCCATGGGCCGCGGGGCCTGCGTCCCCCCGGAGGCGTCGGGGCCCGTCCAGGGCCGCCGGCTCGGAGCCGTGCTGGGCGCCCTGTGCCTGGTGCCCGCGCTCGCGCTGCTGGTCCGGCTGGGGACCCCGGTGGCCCCGGCCCCGAGCGCGACACAGGTGAGCAGACGGGGAGGCCAGGTGCGTAGGGCTGGGGACCGCGCCTGCGGGCCCGTGGCCGCGGGTCGGGGCGCCTCTGGGTCCGGACGTGAGACCCCCGGTCCTCGAATTCGACCGTCCCCGCCGGCCTCGCCCGCCGCCCCGCACGGAGGTCGCACGCGCAGCGTGGGCAGCCGGGAAGCGGGCCCACCCCGTCTCCTGCCCGTCGGTCCTGCGCGCCGCGCCCACCGCCTCCCTGGGCGCCCTCTCTTCCCTCCAAGGGCGACGTCGCCGCGCCGGCCCCCGCCGCCCGGGCCCCCGCCCCGCCGGCCCCGCCCGCGCCCCGAAGACGCCGCTACACGCTGACCCCGGCCCGGCTGCGCTGGGACCACTTCAATCTCACCTACAGGTGCGGTCGGGGCCCGGGGCGGGGGGGCAAGCGCGGGCCCCGGCCCTGACCTTCCCCCTCCCGCAGGATCCTCTCCTTCCCGCGGAACCTGCTGAGCCCCCGGGACACGCGGCGGGGCCTGGCCGCGGCTTTCCGCATGTGGAGTGACGTGTCCCCGTTCAGCTTCCGCGAGGTGGCCCCCGAGCAGCCCAGCGACCTCCGCATAGGTGGGCGCCCGCCCCAGCCCCGCCCCGCCCCGGCGGCCCGGGCCGCGGCCCGCGCTCAGCGCCGCGCTCCCCCCAGGCTTCTACGCGGTCAACCACACGGACTGCCTGGTGTCCGCCCTGCACCACTGCTTCGACGGCCCCACCGGGGAGCTGGCCCACGCCTTCTTCCCCCCACACGGCGGCATCCACTTCGACGACAGCGAGCACTGGGTCCTGGGCCCCACGCGCTACAGCTGGAAGAAAGGTGGCTCCTGGGCCCGGCTTCCCGCGCGCCCCTCCCCCGCTCCGGCTGCAGGGGGGGCTGCAGGCAGACTCAGGAGGGGCTGAGGGTCACGCAGGCCAGGGGGGAGGCGGGGGGAGCCCCCGGGGTCGGGGCGGGCGGCCCTGAGGCTGCGCCCGACACCAGGGAGAGGGAGCCGGAGCTGCATTCCTGGGGGCCCGGCTCACCGCCCAGGCCCGGAACGTTCTTATCTGGCCTTGGCCGGGCTGCCGCAGGCCGGGGCGAAGGGGCCGGGCTGGGGGGCCTGCGGCTCTGACGGCCCGGGGCTCGCAGGCGTGTGGCTCACGGACCTGGTGCACGTGGCGGCCCACGAGATCGGCCACGCGTTGGGGCTGATGCACTCGCAGCACGGCCGGGCGCTCATGCACCTCAACGCCACGCTGCGCGGCTGGAAGGCGCTGTCGCAGGACGAGCTGTGGGGGCTGCACCGGCTCTACGGTGGGTGCCCGGGGCCGGCGGCGGGCCGGGCTGCGGGCCGGGCTGCGGGCGGGCGGGCGGGCACCGCTGAGCCAGGCCCCGCCCGCAGGCTGCCTGGACCGGCTGTTCGTGTGCGCGTCCTGGGCGCGGAGGGGCTTCTGCGACAGCCGCCAGCGGCTCATGAAGAGGCTGTGCCCCAGCAGCTGCGACTTCTGCTACGGTGACACCGCGGGGGGGGGGGGGGGCTCGGGGCCGCGGGCGGGCGGGGCGGGGCGGGGCGGGCCTGACTCCGCGCCTCCCCCGCCCCGAGCAGCATTCCCCTTCCCGACGGCGGCTGCCACCCTGCCACCCCCCAGGACCAAAACGCGGCTGGTGCCCGAGGGCAGGAACGTGACGTTCCGCTGCGGCCACAAGATCCTGCACAAGAAAGGCAAAGTGCAGTGCGTGGCGGGGCTGCGGGGGCGTGGCGTGGCGTGGCGGGGGCGGGGCGTGCGGGCGGGCCGGCCGCGCCCCTACAGCAGCGCCCCTTGCAGCTGGTACAAGGACCGGGAGCCCCTGGAGTTCTCCTACCCCGGCTACCTGGCGCTGGGCGAGGCGCACCTCAGCATCATCGCCAACCCCGTCAACGAGGGCACCTACACGTGCGTGGTGCGGCGGCGCCAGCGCGTGCTCACCACCTACTCCTGGCGCATCCGCGTGAGGAGCTGAGCGCCGCCTCCATAAAGCGCGTTCCCCTCACGTCTCTGGCTCGTTCTTGGGGGGGCGGGCGCAGGCAGCCCCCGGCCCGCCTCAGACAGCACAGCGCACGCCCCACACCCCAGCCAAAGGGGCCTCTGCTCAGCCGCACAAGGCCAGGAGGGCTTCCTGGAGAAGGTGGCAGAGCTGGGCCTGGAGGGCGGCTACGCTGCTCTCCGAATGGGAGCTGGGGGCGGGGGCGGGGGCGGGGGGCGGCAGGACGCCGCCAGCCAGGCGGGCAGGGGTCCACAGGCGCGCCTTCCAAGCCCTTGGCGGCCTCTGCCTGCCCCCTGCCCCGGCCGGCTCACAGCTTGGGGGCCACTTTGCTGAGGACAACCAGGGCTTCTTCCACGGAGTTGCTACACGCACGGAACCACCAGCCGTGTCCACCCCCACGCGGCAGGGGCTGCCCGGGACACCTGTGGACAGGGCCTTGCTGCCCCCAGCTCAGGTCCACACCACGGCCTGGCCCAGCACACACGTGTGCACACACACACACATGCGTGTTGCATACACGTGTGCCACGTGTTTCACTGGGCACTTCAGACACACCCGAAAACCACCTTTCCCTCCACAAGGGAACGGTATTTAATTCTACAAATTTACAAACCAAAATATAAAAAGAGACTGGAAAGTCAAGGGGGCGAGGAGTTCGGAGCTGGCCCTGTGCCGGGGCCGGGTCGCCGAGGCCGCGCCGGGCCGTGCGAGCTTCAGAACTTGAGGCTGAAGCCGGGGCCCGCGGCCGAGGCGCCCTGGTTGGTGGTGGTGAGGTGGAAGCCGGTCTCCTTCAGGTCGTCGTCACCCTGCGGAGCGAGCCAGGGACGTGAGGACCCTGCCCTGGCCAGACCCCGCCCACGGGGACCGGGCAGGACCTCACCAGCTGGCTGTAGCCCAGGCCGCCCTCAGGGGGCCGTGGGCTGGTGCCCCGCTTGACCCTCTGCTGCTCGCTCTTGGCCGGCCACGTGGGGAACATGGAGGGGTCGATGGGCAGGGGCGTCTCGCGGAAATACTCGTGCTTCAGCCCGTCCTCGGCGTTGATCCTCCGCCCGGGGAAGTAGGTCAGGAACCTGGGGACACAGGCGCCGCGTGACCCTGCGAGGGCCGGGCAGTGGCCTCACGGGGCCGCCACGGGCCCGGGAGCCGGGTGGGCAGGGCCCTAGGGGCCTGGCTACAGTGGTGGCGAGCAGCCCTGGGAGGCGCCTGTCCACCCAGCAGCCTCCAGGCCCCAAGGGCTCGGGCAGGGCCGGGGTCCTCACTTGTTCATGAGGTCGAAGCCCTGGTCCGAGAGCAGGGCCCCGAAGCGCTTGCGCAGGTTGTTGTAGGGGTACTCGCTGAAGGTCATCTTCTTCACCGCCGGCAGCTCGCTGTAGCCAGGCCAGATCTTCTCACTCGGGGTCCCCAGGTCCTGGGACACAAGGGGTCAACAGGGCTGCTCCCTGCACACAGCAGCGACCAGGGACGAGGGCCACTCCAAGGGCACCCCCTGCCCTGGCCCCGGCCCCAGGCGAAGCTCGCACACCCACCTTGAACACCTTGTTGATCTGATCAATCTCCGACTTCCCGGGGAACAGAGGTTTCTGGGTCAGGAGCTCCCCAAAGATGCAGCCCACTGACCACATGTCCACGGCCGTGGAGTACTCCTGGATGCAGGACACAGGGCTCAGGGCGCTGACCCCGGGAGGCCCTGCTGGGGCAGGGAGGCGCCAGAACCCCCGGATCTCACCTTGGCTCCCAGCAGCAGCTCTGGGGCGCGGTACCACAGCGTCACCACCACTGGGGTGTAGGCCTTTAGTGGAGACCCGTACTCCCGGGCCAGCCCGAAGTCCCCCACCTGCAGGACAGAGGGCAGGGGTCACGGGCAGGCCGGGTGTGCGTGGGCGGGGCGGGGCGGCCCCCGCGCGGCCCACCTTGAGGATGCCCGCGTGGCTGAGCAGCAGGTTGGACGTCTTGAGGTCTCGGTGCAGGATCCAGTTGTCGTGCAGGTGCCTCACTCCACGCAGCAGCTGGATCATCAGGGTCTTCACCTCCCCTGGACGGCAACAGGGTCAGGGGCCCGGCCCGGCCCGGCCCGAGGCTTCGGGGAACGAGCGTGGCCCAGGAGGCAGCGTCGCGGGGCCTCGGCCGTACCTGGCAGGAAGGGCTGCTTCATGGTCTCCATGAGGCTCTTGAGGTCATGCTCCACGTAGTTCATCACGATGTAGATCTTGTCCATGTTGCTGCCCACGACGATCTCCTGCGACACAGCCGGCCGTGGTCGGCGCGCTGCGGCGCAGCCCCGCCAGCCTGGCCTTCCCGGGCCCCAGGACGGCCTGGAGGCCAGGGCTGACGACAGAAACCCCCCGGCCCTGGCCAGGCGGGGCGCGGGGCGCGGGGCGGGGCTCACCCTGACGGTGACGATGTTGGGGTGCTGGGCCTTGAGGATGGTGTTGATCTCCCTCAGCGACGTGATCGGGAAGCCCTCCTTCTCCTTCTCCATCTTCAGCCGCTTCAGAGCCACAATCTCATCTGCAGAGGAAGCCCTCCTGAGACGGGCGCTGCCGGGCGGCGCTGGGCACAGCCGGCGCAGCGGGGATCCGCTCCCCGCACCGAGTGCCGGCGTCCCACTCAGCGCCTGCACTTCCGATCCAGCTTCCTGCCAGCGCCCCGGGGCGGCAGTGACGGCTCCAGTGCTTGGGCCCTGCACCCGCGTGGGAGACCCGGTTGGGGCTCTGGGCTCCTGCCGGGGACCCAGCTCTGCCGGCACTGTGGACAGTGGTCGAGCTGCCGTCTGCGGAGCTGGCATCCCGGCTGCTCCACTTCCGATGCAGCTCCCGCCTGTGGCCTGGGACAGCAGTGGAGGACGGCCCAAGTCCCTGGGCCCCTGCACCCGCGTGGGAGACCTGGAAGAAGCCCCTGGCTCCTGGCTTCGGATGGCGCAGCTCCGGCTGTTGCAGCCGTCTGGGGAGTGAGCCAGCAGGGGGAGGACCTCTCTCCTCTAACTTTTTCATAAATAATCTTTATCTCCCTGAGGCTCTGGTTCTCCGAGACTGTGGCCTCACAGAGATCTCGTTTCAGCTCAGACTGAAAACAGAACCTCCGACGTGTGCTGCTGCAGAGCCCGGGGCTCACCCCCGCCGAATACACAGCCCCTGCCCTGCCCCAGAAACAGCCCTCGGCTCCTTGGCTTCCCAGCCCCTGCCCTGCCCCACGGAGAACGACGCCAGGGCACTGGGGTGTCCAGGGCCACACACGCCCACGGCTGTGGAGGGGGAACACGTGTGGGGCTCCGTGTGAGGCAGCATCACGTGTGCCTGCCCACACCCCAGCTCCCGCCACCCGGCACGGCCCGGGTCGCACTGCCCTCTGGCGTCCTGAGAGGCCCAGGGGGCCAGCGTCCACACTGGACAGGGGCCACCACAGGTCACGACCTGGTGCCTGAAGGATGGCACAGCCGGACACTTGGCAGCAGGGCGCGTGCTGGGAGATCCACCCCAGGCATCAGGGGCCTCGTGGGTGTGAGTCTAGGCTCTAAATCCTTGTGCCGAGGTCTGCAGGACGGAGGCCGAGCGGGCCGAGATGGACGGTGAGGGCTGCGCCCCGCTGACCGCTGCTCGCTACGAGGACTGCTTCCCTCGGGCCGGGCCGGGCCCTCCCGCCCCAGCTCTCCGGGCGGCTGGCCAGGGCCCCGCGCACCTGTTTTCTTGTCCTTGGCTCTGTACACCACACCGTAGGTGCCCTCCTCGATCCTGTTCAGGCACTGGAACTCCTCCACGCTGCGGCAGCCCTGGGGGAGGTGCGGGTGAGCGGGGCAGCCCCCCACGCACACCTGCCTCCCACGGAGCTGCACTGCCACCCCGCCCCCCCATGCCCATCCTGGGAGGAGGCACAGGGCATGCGTGTGCACAGCCCCCCGCCCCCTCCCCACACCACAGCCCCTTCTGTGAGGACATCCAGCACAGGAAGCCACTCCCAGGAGATCCGAGCCTGCCCAGCCCCTGCCTCTGAGCACAGGCACAGCTCCCTCTGAGGGGCAGCAGGCGGAGGTCAGGGGTCCTCAGAGCCCTTCCCACCCTTTAGGACACGCCTCTATCTTACCCGGCAAGGTCCTCACCACCACCACCTGTGCAGCCCCCAGACATGGTGGGTGCCCACCTAGCCCACGCACCCGGCAGGGGCAGCGTGACGGCTCCCAGGCCGCCCTCGCCGTGGCCTTAGCCACAGACCCAGGCCACGGCCACGCCCGGCCAGCCTGACCTCCGGGGCACAGGAGGGCCCAGCAGTGACCACAGTGACGCCCCCGCAGAGCCGGGTGCTGGGCCTGACCTGCAGGGCGGGCAGGTACTTGGGCAGCTCCTGCTTGAGCTCCAGCGGCGACAGGGCGGGGGAGTCGGGCACGCAGTCTCCTTCAGTCAGGGCGCTGCTGCGCGGGGTCCCCTCGCCGGCCTCGTCCTCCCCTTCTTCACTTTCCCCCGAGTCTCGGTCAAATCGTGACTCTGGAACTTTCAAAATTAAACCGCGTGACGGCACCGGTTGCAAGCAAACGCCCAGGACACCGCCGCCCCAGCTGCTCTGGGGTCTGTGGTCCCGGCGGGCTCAGCCGAGGCAGAGCCACAGCCCTGATGCGGATCCTCGAGGATGCAGGGGTGCCGTGGGGAGGGGCACGGCCAGAATCCTGTCCCCCAGCCCAGGACAGAGCCTCGGAGCCTGCGGAGCCCACGCCACACCTTCCAGCGACAGACTGGGAGCTGCTGTAAGGGCTGGACTCGGGGTAGCGTCTCCCATGCTCCCCCGTGGACTCGGGGTAGCGTCTCCCAGGCTCCCCCGTGGACTCGGGGTAGCGTCTCCCAGGCTCCCCCGTGGACTCGGGGTAGCGTCTCCCAGGCTCCCCCGTGGACTCGGGGTAGCGTCTCCCAGGCTCCCCCACAGCGGCCACTGTGGGTGCTCAGAGGGTGCTCCGTGCTGAGTGACGGTGGCCCACAGGGTGGTCCTGGGTGGCCCACAGGGTGGTCCTGGGCGTAGCTCCT